CACACACACACACACACACACACACACACACACACACACACACACACACACACACATACATATATATATATTGGGTTGTCCAGAAAGTTCGTGCCAATTTTAAAGGAAAATTGAAACGCAAGAAATTTAAATTTTAATATACATTTATTAAATTATATAGATGCCATTCTGTTCTACAACCTTTCTCCATCTTTCAGGCAACTTGAAAATTCCGTCCTTCCAGAATCTCTTAGGTTTTTTTAGCGAAAACTTTTCTAAGTGATTTTTTACCTCGACCAAAGAATTGAAGCTTTCTCCATTGAGGGAATTTTGTAATGATTGAAATAGGTGCAAATCAGAGGGCGTGAATATGGTGAATATGGTGGATAGGTAGAACATCCTAACCGAGCTCCAACAACTTTTGTCGAGTTATCAAAGACACATGAGACCGCGCATTGTCCTGATGAAACACGATGCCCTTCCGATTCGCTATTTCTGGACGTTTTTGTTCAATTGCTGTCTTCAATTCGTCTAATTGGGAACAATACTTCTCTGAATTTATCGTCTCATTGTTTGGTAAAAACTCATAATACAGGATCCCTTTTCAATCCCACCAGACACAGAGCATGACCTTCTTTGGATGAAGACCGGCTTTTAGGGTGGTTAAAGGTGATTCATTTCGCTTTATTTTTGTAAGTATTTTTCATTCCCCGTCACTACTTACTTCAAAAATGGTGTCTCCTCGTTGCATTTATAGAACGAGTCGCAAATGGAAATGCGATCCATCAGATTTTTCTCCGTTAAATCGTGGGGAACCCATACATCAAAACGGTTTATGTAGCCAAGCTTCACAAAATGCTCGTGGATGGTGGATTTTGATATATTCAACATTTCTGCTAATTTATGTGTCATATAGCGTGGGTTATTTTCGATCAGTGTTTTAATCTGATCTTCATCTGTGGTGGAGGGCCTACCCGGGTGTTCTTGATCTTCAAGGTTGAAATCACCAGCTTTAAACCTAGCAAACCACTTCCGCACAGTTCTTTCAGCTACAGCACCTTCGTCAACAGCGCATATCTTGTTTGCCGTTTGTGTAGCATTTTTGCCTTTCCGGTAAAAGAAAAGCATTAAATGCCTAAAATGCACTTTGTTTTCTTTCATATTCAAAGGCATATAAAACTGACAAAAATTAACATAACAACCAAATTTTTTCCAAGTATGCCTGAAGTACCATCTTTTACGATATGTATGCATATCATTTGTTTTCAATCGTTTTGATATATTCAGACCTGTCTTTACGCCACCTACCAAAAATCGGCACGAACTCGGACAACCCAATATATATATATATATATACGCATTTATTA